CTCAAATTTGTTACCACTGGCTTGTCACTGAGAATAAAGTTGACAATCTCAGTTCAGTGCTCAGAGGAAAGCTCCTTAGTACTAGCTCTGATACTGACTGACTGCCCTAACAAAGCATTAAGGGCTGATTCTGTGGGGTAATGGTTACTACTTTCTACTGCTTCTGATACTACTACTTCTAAAGCCAATAATTAGGCAGGTAGACACACAGTGCTTTGAGAAAAACTAGATGTCTGAAAATCAACTTCTTCCTGAAGTAAAGTGAAAAGGATATTTTCATTCTATAGGTTCAGTAATTTTCTGCCAGAAGTTTGAAATGAAATCAAAATGTCCATTTTTTTGGTTTTACTCCAATGGAAGAATATTTAGTTTCTGGATTTTATTTAGATTTACTGTTTACCCAAAAATACAGTGTCAAAAAAAAAAAAAAAGAAAAGAAAAGAAAAGGAAACATAATAAGATTTTGCCTTTTAAAATAAAGTGCCATTTTATTTTGTTTTATACCTCTTGGCAAACTGTAAACCTAGGTAAAATGAACAAAATTTATCTAAGAAGGAAAAAAAAAAGTGAAAGTCTATTCAATGCAATTTTTTTTTAACCATGGCTTTTTGTTGCTGTTGTTGTTGCTTACATATATTTTCATACATATATATATAAAATAGATTTCAAATCCTGAATATGTTAAGACATCCATTCCCAGAATTGCCAGCACAAAAGAAGAAAATAGTGAGAGAGGCCAACACATGAATGGCATTCTTTTAAATGCTGGGGTCTGAAAAGGTTTGCTGTGTTGTGTTGTATTTCTGGGTTTCAAACTGCAACATGCAGATGCATGCACATGAATGATTTTGAGCACGTGAGCTTTAATCTCATCGTAGAAAATAGAACCAATGACATGTGTAAATTTGCAACACGTACTTATAGTTTGCTAACTGAAGCATAAGACCAAGGTCTGGCATGGTGGCTTACTTTTAAAAACATCAGTATTTTTTAGCGTATTTCTGTGAAAAAACAACTCTTTGGGTTTTCACTCTGTTTCTCTTCTTCTGCATACACCTGGGAAAATGGATTTTTAATACATTATACAGTTAATAATTATATATATTTTTGAGCTCCATGGATGTTTTCTATTCTAATTATAAGGTTGATAGTCCTGGTGATCAAAAGCCTGCTGTTGGGTGGACTTGAAATGAGAGACAGAGTGAGAAGGAACACGGCTCAGAAGTGGTTGATTTCCATGTTTGATGCATTCACTAAATAATTCAGTATCGCTAATGGAAATTCGATCTCAGCAGAGGAGTGGAGATATGGGGCACTCAGTTGCCAGCGTTTGGCAGCTCAATAGCTTGGGAAAAACAATGGAGCAAAAGGTGAAAAAATATTTAAGCAGTACTCCAGTTCTCTGTTCTGCCCTCTTGGATTCACATTCTGTCTTTCTGGAGCTACTGTGGCTGATGGCTAGAGAGACTGAAAGAAAGGAAGTGATACTCACAGTGTTTGCGAAGCAAACAAAGGGAGCTCAGACCAAGCTGACCTTTTAACTGCTGCACAAGTGGCTTTGTTTGCTTTTCGAAAAGTACATCCTCGTTCTAGTCAGAAGTGAGACCCAAATCATCTTTTGGGAGTGAATTACATAAAACCTCATCTTTTGACTTTGTACTCTGAGGCTCAGAGTCAGAATGTTTTGAGGGCATCTCAGGAAAGGAGTGCTAAGCTCCCATTGGAAGCTGACAAGGTCCAAATGTCTCCCGGTAAAATGATTACCTGAAAGTACTGAAAAGCCCAGCTTCAAAGGGAAGATTTGTTCACATCTTTTAAAAGGAAAAAAACCTTCAGTGACAAGGAATTTATTATGGGTGGTTTTTTACATTTTGGCACTAACACGATGACATGAGATTCCTTCCTCAAGACTGCCTTGAACATTTTCAGATAGAAATGCTCAGTATCTAACTCTTCTGGCTTGCTTACAAGAACATTTGCAAGTGGCATCACAGAAGTCCTTTTATAACTTCATTACTTCTAGCCCTTAGCTCTCCTTTTTTAAAAGAGAATTCAGCCCTATCACTGCTATGGTTTTGTATATCAACGTAGATACATGGAAGTCGAACTTGGCCTTCCACAGCTGCCAGTCCATTCTTCATCTTTTTTTGTTTTGTATTCTATTGTTGTTGTTGTTGTTTTGAAACCTGCAGCTGTAAATGAACATTGAGGATGTTAAAGACACTTAGAATCTGGAGTCAAATTCTCCTTTCAGGATCATCTGTGTGTCCAGATCAGGAAAGTAATAATACAAGACTATTTTTTTTCACTATGGACTTTCCTATAGGTTACAGGAAGCTTACAATAAGCCGTTGCTCCAAAGATTGTGTAGGAAATAAAGCCTTGACAGAAGAGACAAAACAGTAGAGAAGTTCTTGAGGTAAATCTCTCCAGCTTCACAACTCTTTTAATGAAGAAAACATCCCTGTGGGAAATGAATGGTCAGAGCCTGCCTTCCATCAACTCTTTTTCTCCATAGCACCCTATTCTTTTTCATCAGGAACCACAACAGGCACCTTTGAGGCAATGATTAATATGGAGTTGTTAAGTTTTTCTTGGCAGAAGTAGTCACACAGATCCTTTCAAGACAGTTGTATTGACCAACTGTCTCACCTCTTTCCACCTCTTTACAACCTGTCTCTCAGTGGCAAAGATTCAGTCAAGAAATTCATGTGTTATACTTAATTAATTTCAAAGGCATCAAAGAGTAGTTCAATTTGCAGCAAAGAGAATCTTTCTGCATTTGAATAGTGTTTTTTGCAGTGCAGTGGAAACTTCAGTTAAGCCTCAAGGTGTCTATGAGACACAACACTAAAACACACTTGCATAGCTAGGAGTTGATGATCCTTGTGGGTCATTTTCAACTTGGGATGTTCTGTGATTTAATCATTCTACACTTTCCCTTTCTGTCTACCTACGACTGAGATACTTTCTTTTTCATTCTTAAGTGCTTCAGGCCATTTGTCCTCTGAGCAGCTGTGTTGACCTCATCTGCAGTTTTATTTTAGGCTTTGAGTCTAGACCAAGCCATACCACCCCAAACCAATTTCAGTGCATGTAAACTCAGCGTCAGAAAATTCATTCATGAGCTGTGGGAAACCAGGTACAGAGAAAGGCTGCAACCAGATTTGCTCAAAGTTTGCTTCTAGGATTTAGCAGACAAATTATGCTCCTGATACTGTGCACCATTTTTGTGGAAAGCGGTTGGTTTCTGCAGAAAGTTTCCACTATTGGCTTAGAAGCTGAAAAAATTTTCAGTCTTTAGCCAAGGCACAGGTTTCTGTATAAAAGAGAATAAATTTCTTGACCCGTTTTGATGCAATGTGTTTTGGTATTAATCAGATCAGACTTAATCCTCTTCCATACTTCCTCTATGTTAACTGGACACAGTTGAGCATCTGAAATGTGCTATTGTGGTTGGATGGGGAACCACTGAGGGCTTAAGATGTCAACCACTACCAGGTGTTTTTTGATGGAAGTGCCTTTTCCTAGACATACGTGGTGCTTGGAGTGCCAGAATTTCATGGAGAAGCCCTCAGAAAGGTGCAAGCTGGCTATCAGGTATCTATTCAGCTTTGCATAGTCTGAAACATGAACACGAAGTATAGTATTGAGTGCTCATTTCCACTCAGCCAGTTGTTAGAAGGAATGTTCTCTCCTTCTCAAGTCACCACTTTGCACTGCAAATCAAAGCTGTTGTTTTAACTTACATCACTGTCATTAAATCTGCCAGTGGTGCAAATCCTTAACAACCATGCCAGGACTAAACACATAACTGCGTGATGAAAAGAAGATGCCAAGGTGTGGATGGAAGGGAATAGTTTACTTTACTAAGAAAGACTCCAGGTGGGTGCAATTGCCCACGCCGGGACCAGCAACACAGTGCTTTCCATTGTCACAGATGGTAGGTGTTAGATGATGCAATGCGTACGGTGCCAGACAAATTACTTTTTTAGCTCATTCCTCTGGAAACAGGAGAGGAATCTGAACTGGATTTCTGTGCAAACCTGGAGCAGGAGATGCAAGCTGAGACCCAAGCAGTCAATGGGCTCAGTCTTTCAAATTGAGAGAGAGAATTGCTCTGGGGATCAGAAATTAGACAGAAATTGCCAGGACTTTGGAACAAGTCCACTTTGTTTTAAATCAAGTTGTGGGCTGGGGTACATTCTTATTCAATGCATGTAATGAACCTAAAAGTTGAAAAAATTGGAAAAAAAAAAAAAAAAAAAAAAAAAAAAAAAAGTGGAAACCTTGATATAACTCCAGCAACCAGAAGCATTGGAATACCACGAGAAAAGCTGTTCTTGTGGTGTTTTCAGCTAGAACTGAAATTAGATGCTGTTTCCCCCACAACCCAGTATTTCCAGTCCAGGTCTAAGCGGGACACTGGAAGTCAAGTTAGAGCTCCCCGTACTCCCGCCAGCCAAATCCTCTCCAGGCAAGAGCCAGTTGGTGCCCATTAGGAGGCTGTAGCCTCAGCAGGGCTAGGTGCGGAGGGGCAGGCAGGGCAGTGCCCGGTCCCGGTGCGGGCGGGGTCCGCTCTTCCCGCAGCGGGGGCGCCTCGGGAGCCCGGTGTGCGGGCGGAGCGGCCCCGTCCCGCCTCCCGAAACCCCCCCCGGGCAGTGGAGGCGAGGCTGCCCCGCGGGTGACCCGCCAGACGACGCACCCCCGCCGCATCATCACACGAGGGGGCAGCGCGGCCGCTAGCACTGCCCCGGCGCCCGCCTGCCTCTGCCTCCCTCCTCTCGGCGGCTCGCCGCAGCCCGGGGTCTGTCGAGTCAAAGCGAGGATCAGGTTCCCTGCCTCCAGTATAAAAATCTCAGGGAAGAAATCTCCAGCGGGAGAGAGAGACGGGGAGAGGGAGGAGCGGGGCGTGAGTCGGAGGTCCGTGGGGAAGCGGAGCCGCGGCGCCGACAACACCCGCAGCACCCGCAGCACCCGCCGCACACCGGGGACGCCCGCGGCTCGCCCCTTACAGCTGCGGGAGAAGCGCTTCTCGCCGCCCGAAGTAAGTCCGAGGGGACGGCGAGGGCTGCCAGGGGCTGCCGGAGGGAGCTGCCTCCCGAACCCGCTCCTTCGGGCGAGATGCGAAGCGCTTCGCCCAATCACCCCGCACCCGGGGGTTCTCCCCCTTACCGCCTCGTCTCCTCTGATTTCCTCCCCCCTTATTCCCCGGGAATGATTGGGGAGAACCTGGCCGAGGGGCAGGCGGGGGCCGAGGTCTGGGGGTTCCCAGGGGTGGTGGGGTGCTTCGGGATCCCCCGTGGGTTTGTCCGCTCCGCTCGGGATGGGCATGTGTCGGGACGTGGGAGCGATAAAGGGGGAGAAGAGGGGGTGGTGAGGGGACGTGACACAGCGGAGAAGGGAACAGGAGTTCTCTGGCTGATCCAGTTTGAGAGGACAGGAGGGCAGCAGAGACCCCAGGGTAGCAGAACTCCTGCAGCTTCCAGGTGCTCTGTGCCAGAAGTGTCCCGGCTGAGTCTGTGGATAACCGAGGTTGTGTTGTATCTTCTGTCTGAGCACTTCTTTCTATTACTAATTTTTTTTTTTTTCATTTGTACTTAACCTTTGTATTTCTACTTTTCTCTTGGTGAAACAGCTGAATCTTGCTAGTGCTTATTTATAGCTACTGTTAGTTTGTGTTCTCTTTCTTATGGAGGGATTGGCTGGGAGAAAGTATCATTGTACCAATGGTGAAAATACAGTTTTCTCCTACTCAGCATACAGATTCTGCAAATGTATTATGATTTCCAATTCTGATGCTTCTGACTCCTTGTACTCCTTCATCTTCTCTTCTTAAAAGCAGAACTTTGTGCAAGGAAAAGGTAATCTTTTCTTCGGGACCTTTCCCACACTTTTATATAGTCAGTGGGTGTCACATATCTATCTCTTCTGTATGGCAAGTGATCCACTTTGGTCGTGAATGCCTACTGTGTGTTAGTTCAGCAGTTTGCTGTGAAGCTGGATTACAGGATGGCAGGTTCTTAGGAGCATTGTAGGAACATTTGCAACATGTTAAATCCTTCTCTGTGAGATAGCCCTGAAGCTATGGATAGTGGTAGGCTTTTAAATTAGATCCTATTTGCCCTAAATGGCTTCTAGTACAGTGGAAGAGCACTACCAGTAGCTCATCAGCACTTGAACTCCGCTGTCCTTTCTTTTGTTCCCCTTTGGTCATGACTATTCTAAGCTTTTAGGAAAGCTCAACGTTTTGGTTAACAAATAGAGTAAGTGTATAACTTTGGTTGTATTAGGTTGTGTTAGGAGGAGAGAAGGAATAGAGAGAGGAGTGAAAGGTACAAGAAAAGTCATTATAAAGAATTTCTCGTCCTTAACATTTTCAAAACAATGTGCTTGAGCTGGTGTACAAAGCAGACTTTTTTTTTTTTTTTTTTTTTTTTTTTTTTTTTTTAATGTATTTCTGTTTCCCCCCTGAAAAGAAACAGCCTGGAAATAAAACAAAAGAAAAAATACCTCTGAGTAGAATTACCTCTGAAAGGATAAAAGAATGTGAATAGCTGTGACAAAAATTACTAATTTGGTATAGAAATGAAAACTTAGAAATGAATGGAGAAGACATTTCAATGAAAATGACAAACAAACAAAAAAAACCCCCACAAAACTCAGCAACTAAAAACTTGCTGTGTAATTTAGTGATTTTTCCTTAAAGAGAAGGAAAATGAGGGGATCTAATACACCTGTCTCCAGCTTACACTAAACTCTTTGATGAGTTATTGCTTATGAAGCTTTGGATGAAATTGAAGGAGAGAAGCTTACTGATTTTTGGCATGCTTCAAAGCCAAATCTAAGATTAAAAAAGAGAAATTAGCAACAAATCTTTGTTCCATGAATGAGTTATTCTTTGTCTGTAGTGTAGAAGTGACCTGACAACAGCATACTTCTTTCAATTATCACCATGCCAATCAACAGTTCTTTGAGATATACCTGATATATCTTTGCCAGCTTGCTTAGTTTGGCTATAGTAATAGAAAGCATAGTGGTTTCCTGGTTACCATATACCTGTATTTTTCTACGCTCCAGCTGGCACTAAGGACTCACCTGTGCTTATGTATGTTTTGTGTAGGTTCATCCTTCCTTGCTGGTGTGTGTTACTTAGCTGACTTCTAGCAGTCATGGCTCCAGCATGGTACTTCTCAAGTCATATGTTTCTTTTTCAGTTATTCCAGAGTCCTCGGATGATAATTAAAAATGCTCTTCTACAGTCACTCAGACCTTGCTCTATTTGAGTGCATTTTCTGCAGCAGGAAGATGGGATTATTGTATGTTAAAGTTGCACACTGGGGCATTAGGAACGGAATGGAAGTTGCTCATGAAACTTAGCGCTCTGTTCAGGGGGCCCCATTACCTATATACTACAACAGTGGTGTTTTCTGCGGGAACTGATTTTTAACAATGCAAGCTTTGCTTCGATATTTACAGCCTCTTGCTGATCAGTGTATCAAAAGCATTTTCATTGAGAGGATTCATTTCAGGACTTTAATTGAGGAAGTCTCTTTGTTTCAAGCCTCTTTATAATAAACCATTCAAAATGCTGTCTTTGAACAAACTAGGTCACTGTAACGTGCACACACACAGTGATTCTCATCTGCTTAGGGTAGTCTGCATTTGGTCGACCCATATCCCTGGTGAGATTGTCCCTGATTTATCCTTCTTGGACTGGCTCGTTCACAGGGAGCTTATGCTGAAAATTCACTGCTGGAGGTCATTCTCCATTCTTGGCATCTCTGGCAGCCTTAAGCTTAAATTGCAGCCTCATTTTCTGTCCAATCAATACCACTCTTATGTCACTGAGTTTCCATGGTGCCCCCAATCTTCTGTCTACATATTGATGTCTGACAGCAGGAATAGCATTCTGTGTCGCTATATATACTTACTAAACCTGTCAAAACTATTCAGGGTCTGTCTCACTAATTTATATCCATATCCTGATATTATTTGAATCTGTTGAGCTTTGACTGATGGAACTCACTGCACTAAGAAATCAGCCCCAGTAATGCACTCCAGGGATGGCTCAAGGAATGGATGTTTTGAGAAAGGCAAAAAAAGACTCTTCTAGAGTAGCTCGGGTAGTCTAGAATTTTTTTTTTTTTGTGCACAATGGATGTATTTGAAAACATCTAAGTCTCAATAGCTCCAAGTTAATTCTTTGGAAATCATTATCCATTGTGCTCCTTTGAATGCATAGGGAGTTCTCTCTGATGGAGCCATGCAGAGGAAAACAGAGAAGTGGGCATTGTCAAATATTCAATATGCATTTCAGGAGATTTGGGGGGAAATCTGTGTCTGTCCTCTCACATAAGCTTTCTTCAGCAGAAAAGTGGGAAAATGAAACAAAGGGAAGGAGCAATGTTTTCTGTAATGTGGAAGTTTTGCATTTTATCACAATAGCCCACAGAGCTTTATAGCTGTGTAAGAAGCAATGCAACTGTATCTGTGGACTGACACAACATCAACCAAAGAAGTTCAGAGAAGGCCTCTTAAATTCCAAGACACCTCAAATTATGTTGTTTGTGCCAGCAGTAATACAAACTAAATAAAGACAAGTAGATTAATGTTTTGTGGGTTTCTTTTTTTTGTATGTGTATTTTGTCTGTTTCTTCTTTTTTTATATATAATTAAATATGCTTTGCAAAGCATTATCTTGTATCAACTGAGGCTGTTGTGAGCTGGAGAAACTTTTTTATCTCACTATCTTTAACATGGACATGATCAATCATATGAAATAAGAGTTGGCAGTCAGTATGGAATATGCTGCTTAAAACTTTGTTTGCTCCAAGTTGCCAGAAGAGCTGAATCAGTGATGCCAAGTTCATTATTACTTTTCAGACCCTATTCAATCTCCAGTAGTCTTTTTACTAGTAAAAAAGTAAGGACCTCCAAAACATAAAAAACAACCTGTTGCAGGTGATATTTGACAAGATAGTATGAAAGTAGCTCAGTTTTTTAATAGTGGCTTATCTTAACATGGTAGAAAGGTAGAAAGGGTTTTTATGAAAGTAGACACTCTACTGACCAATACACTCACCTTATGTTATTCCAAAGGATTGAATAATGGAACTATTTAAAATATTTGGCACTACCTCCTGCAGTGGCGCCATGATTTATGATTGTAATAAAATATGAGTAGTCAAATGTTGTGGGGAGAGGTGGTGCTTTATTTTTTAAATTTTTTTTTTTTTTTTTTTTAAGACCCGTCTAATTTCTCTGCTGGCTTTCGTATGCGAGAGTGGCTTTTTAAAAACTGAAATAATCTTGCAGACTGCTTTTTAACTTCTTTCAGAGCAAAGGTTGAGAGAACACAGCTATAGGCAGTTTCACGGAAGATGAAAAGAGGGAATGTGAATGTAGAAAAGCTGGATGCATTACTGGTGCAGTCAGGTGATTTCACACCCTGCCTCCTCCTCCTCCCCAAAAGCCTCTGCCTTTCTTTGCCTTCCTTGAATAGAAGATTCTGTTTTCTCTACATACAACCTCTGGAGGTGAGGAGTAGAGTTGATTCCGTGTGAGGCAAAATCTGGTTTCCTTATGTTGAGTAAAATCTAACATATTGCTTGGCGAATGTGATTGATCCACTGGCAGCTGCAAAGAAGGGGTACAGACAGAGCAGAAGAGTGTTACAAGACTTGGAGATTTTCTGATGAAAATAGTTTCTGAAATTAAATAGTGTTTGGGACTCCAGCTCATCATCATTTAATAAACGAGGAGGTAAAATTTTAAAATGGACCTCACTCCTCTGAGGCCTACCAGCACTGTTTCAAAGCTTGCTGAATGTTCTAAAGGGTGTTACAAAAATTGTCCTTCCTCATTTAGTTTCTGTAGTCTTCCCATGGAGCTTGGACCTTATAAACATCCCATTTAATTGTACATGATACCCTCTACAGGTTCCTTCAGGGAGGGAAGATAAAGAAGAGAAATTCTCTAATACTTAAGTTGAAATTCCTGTTTTGGCACTGGTCTGCAGCTAGTCAATATTGTAAATAAAATTGA